AGTAAATAAATAAAAGTGAAACAAAGATACAGAGGTGAAATAGATTGCCTTTCATTCATTTTTTATTTTTATAATTTTTATTTTTTATATTAATCACAGGTTATTTACTTTGTATCCCAGCTGTAGCCCTCTCTTTCATTCCCTCCCAATCCCACCTTCCCTCCATCATCTCCTTCCTGCCCCTTTCCAAGTCCACTGATAGGAGAGGTCCTCTTCCCCTTCCATCTGACCCTAGCTTATCAGGTATCTTCAGGACTGGCTGTAATGTCCTGCTCTGTGGCCTAGCAAGGCTGCTCTTCCCTCGGGGAAGGGGGCAGGGAAGTAAGGGAGTCAAAAAGCCAGCCATTGAGTTCATGTCAGAAATAGTTCCCCTTACTAGGGAACCCACTTGGATTTTGAGCTACCATGGGCTACATCCAAGCAGCGGTTCTAGATTATATCCATATATGGTCCTTGCTTGGAGAAACAGTCTCATAGGAGACCCTTGTGCCCTGATATATTTGGTCCTTGTGGAGTTCCTGTCCTCTCCAGGTCATACTAACTCCACCATCTTTCATATGATGCCCTGCACTCTATCGAAGGTTTGGTTATAAGTCTCAGCATCTGCTTTGATACACTGGTAGGTAGAGTCTTTCAGAGGTGGCAGGTTCCTGTCCTGTTACTTGTTTTCGCCTACTTCCAATGTCCATCACATTTGGCTTTCTAAGTGAATATTGGTCATCTTACTCCAGGTCCTCTTTCTTGTTTATCTTCTTTAGGTGTACAGATTTTAATATAGTAGCATTAGTATCAGACAGCTTGGAAATGGAACACACACATCTGCCAAATTCTTTAGCACACCATAAAGCAGTATTCTAAAGGCAACTGGCATTTTGGGTAGCAGTAGCCGGAGATTCTACATTAGGTACTCCTACACAGGGTCAGTGGAACGTACGTACTTCTTCTGCCCATTGTTACTATGAGAGTTTCTAATGTGAAATTTTTAGAGTTTAGGTGGTAATGCACACAATGGTAAGATGGAAAAGAGTGCCAACTATCTAACCCCTTAGCTCAGTTTACTAAATGTAAATTTTAACAGTTCCATTTACTGTCTCCCCTCACCAGAACCAGTACATTTTTCTAACCACATTTCCTCAGGCTAAAATATATCTTATAAAGGATATATTTAACTGTCATTGATTGTTTGTTTCCCTAACTCTTTGGTGAGAACATTTCTATCTGAAAAAGAGAAGAAATCTATAAAGTAACCTCCTAAATATGACTTGACACTACCTGCTCAAGGCATACTGTAGGGAGGCTTTTATTTGTCTTAGGGAAAATAAAAAACACATCACCTAACCATTGGCGATGCTGATCACTATGACTGTCTGCCTCTATTCACTATTTAAACGCCACAAATGGTCTTCCTTTGTACTGCTTATAGAAGTTTATATGCACAAAGCACCCGACAATCAGGCACATTTTTACTTAACTAAAAAAAATGCCACACTGCATGCCACACAGACTATGAACTTGTGAAAAATCTGTTAGAACACGAAAAAGTTATTTAAAGACACATAATTATATAAGCCTAATTACAGTTCCTTAAATATTTAATATACAGAATAAATACAAACTTGTTTTATTTAATTCATCTTTGAGACTCCATACATAGTCACTGAAGATATTTTATATTTACATTTACCATTTAATTAAGAAGGACAAAGACTGAGAAAAATGCCCAGAGATTGAACTGTACCGTGCCCTTAGTATGCTGGGAGCATCATGAAATGCTTCTAATGCAGCATGTCTGTGTACAATAAGCTAATGTCTACCTATCCCATAAGAATGGGGGGGGGGTGTTAATGAGACAGTGGAAGAGAAGTGTTGAAAGCAGTATAGACACATGACAAATTGCAGTTTCCATGACCACTACTGTTGGGCATCTATTTCATATGCTTCCCCCAAAATACATATTTCGTCTTGATTTCACTGGACACACAATTGACTTGAAGTACTTTTTGATGTACTTTTTAAATAACAAAATCTTTCTGAATTAAATTTTTTCACGTTACTGATCCTAAACTCTAAAATCTTTATTTAGTGATAAAAAAGACCCTGTGATGACTTAGTGTCATTGTTTATATTCATATCATCAGTCACCAGCACAGAAGAGATGAGAGTAGGCTAAATGATTTCTGGCTTTAAAACGTTCTTTAAAACTGGGCCAGAGTCTAAGATGCTCAAACACAAGCACCAAATGAGCTGTTATTTGTAATTTTGCTTCTTCGAGAGAGAGATAAGGTTGTTTATACAATATTGATGTTATTTTCAGTCATTTATTTATTTATGAACAATTCTGTCAGGCTGTTATCTGATTAATTCCTTTTACCTGTGCAGCAAGCTTCCTGATGCATGTCATTTCAAAATAAAGATAAGTAAAGAACATAGCCAGAATAAAGATGAATATGTGTTTTATGAGTAAAATACAAGATGTTGTGTCTTCAGGGTGTTCTAGAGCAAAGAGAATTTAGAAATATGACATAAAAGTCACTATTTGTCTGGCTATCCTGAATATCACTCTCTTTCTCAATATGCCAAAAAGCAGTGTTCTTAGCAGAGAAACCTTCTGATATCACAATGGAAATGTCTCCACAATGACAGTGAAAACATCTTAGGGACTCTGTTAAACACCAATGCTTTTCACGATCATCTTTCTTACAGATCACAGAAAAACCATTTTGTGATGGTTAAATATTTAAAGAAAAACCGAACTTCCATTTTCCATTGAATATACTAAAATGTCTTGAAATACCTCCATAAGCATGAGCCTTGGCATTAAAAGCTACTCAGTTTACCAGGAATGAATCGTGAGATAGAAAAATGTGTGCAGATATCACTAGTACATATTTCCCATGAAAGAGAATGTAAATGCACTCTTCCTGAGGATATACTTTCCTTAAACAAAATTTAAAGTTTCTCAGGGAAATAGAATAAAGACATTTTCTTCCAAAGGCATACAGGTTAAATAAAACTATTTTTTTTTCTCTATGCTATATTGCTTTACAGCACATTTTTCCAGCACAAAACAAAAGAATTTGTATCTCCCTAAAAACTGACATGACCTCAGTTCCAATACCAGGCCTAGCTGACATTGAAAAGCTTATCAGGAGTAGTGACGGATGATTCAGAAAGCTTCTTTGAAACTGACAACCAGCAGTAGTGTTTCTAACAGTGAGCGTGAAGTAGGTCACTTGCAAAGTTCCTACCTAGAGTTTACAAAGAATCTTGGTAACTGAATGAGGGAATTCTGCTGGAGTGGTACTCAACCCAGATTCAATGGGTATATGCAAAAAGGCCATCTCAGGCCAACAACTTTCATTTGAAATTTGATGAGACGTAAGTCATACTTCAGTAAGCCAGAAACTGAATATAATATCAAACACAGACGTCCTACAGTGCCGGGCAACACAGGAGCTATCTTTCTTATCTGAATTCCTTTAATGAAGCTTCTGGTATCAGGAGATGCAGAGGGAATGGCTTGTTTAGCAGAGTATCTGCTCCCTACAGAAGAGACTTCCTACACCATAGTCAAATGCCCATTTGTCTGTCCAGCTCTCCTCTGTACTCTGCACGAACCACTTTCCATCTTTGGCATGGTCCATTAGAAGAGGTAAGATGACCCAGCCTTAGAGTCCTCTAAGTGTCTTTACAAATAAATATACATCCCTTTTAGAAAAAAATGGGGATCCTCGCATTACCTTAGTAGTGTCATCTTGGACCAATTATTGTGACAAACACCCTTCTGGATCTTAATCTCTGTTAAGAATAGTCAGGGGTATTTATAAGCCTTTCCCCCCTCAATCAGCTGTTAATTTAATACATACTTTTGATAGTTGGCAAAGATGAAGGTAGTGTCCTGTTTACTAGAATTGGCATAAGAAGCTTTTAGAATGCAGTAAAGTCTCAAAAATTTCAATAAAGGTTCAACATACTGTATAAGTTTATATCCTTACAAAATGCAAAATGGTTAGCCTGTCCACCCAGTCACCTATGGATTCCAAGAGTCTGGCTATCCTATTCTAATCCGTGCATCCCTATTGAATTTGGTAGTGTACAGCGTGGAGGAGTTGTCTGCTCTGAAATACCAACAGAAGCAATGCGGTGCCACATACCTTTTTGCAACTTCCATGTCACATGGAAAAAGTCTAGGAATTGACCCATTGGCTGTCACTGGTTTTGAGATTAGGCCAGAAAAATATTTGGACATGATCTCATTTCTTCCCACTAAGACTGACCTCCATAGTCTCTTGCTTCCCACCCAGCAGCAAAGCTACAAATTATAGGTATTCCTCACTCTATGGTGAGGAATGGGTACCAGTAGCAAGTTCTAATATCTACAGCTCAGTACTGTACAGACTTGCTATATCTTGCTGAATGGCATCCTGGAGACTACATTTAAAGTATCATTTCATGACCATGTACAGCGGGTCTACCTATTCAAGATGTCCAGAAATGTGTTTCTTCAGACACCTGTCCTTGCTTTTTCTGATTCATGTCACAGGTTAGATCAAAGAATCTACCGTGAAATAAAACTTGAAGAGGGTAAGATTTTCTTCCATATTTCAAGTACAGTATAAATGTGGGGTTTCGCGGGGTTTTAATGGCATCCACCTAAGCTAAAATGCCAAGAGCTCATTCCTTGCTTGCCTCTTTCCAAACATATGAACCCTCAAATAAACTTACATCAAAAATAAGAACAACAAAGAAGACGCAATGGTGGAGTCTCTGGAAATATGTGCTAATGAGTAAAATAATCAGGGCAGTCTCTCTGGACAGTTTTACCTGTCCTTCCTGGATGAATCTCACTGAACAGCAAATTCTAAGATTCCACCCCTTCCTTGCTATCTGTTGAAGATCCAAGGAGATACAGCCAACCATAAGCCATTTCAAGACTTGTCTTCTAATGAAAGTGCACACTCTTAGGGATCCCTATAATCAGAAAGCATGGAAATACTTACTTGTTTCGCCTTTGTCTTTGAAATTGTGTCAGAAATTGGTTTCTTTCTTTCCTTTACAGCAGTTTTAGAAAATAATTCCTCAAATTCATGACAATCTATGGATGGTTCTTCAATCTTTTCCCAAATAAGAGAAGGGCTGGAGTCTCTAAAATTAATCAAAAGAACAATAAAGGGGTATCCAAAGACCTACATCATAATGAACAAAAACAAACAAGGCAAAGAAAAGAAGGGAAGGGAGGAAACTGAAAGAAGAAAGATAAGGAAGAAAGAATGTTTTATCAACTTATGAAAACGTTAAAATGTCATCTACATGAGTAAGACATTTGTTTGGTGACAATTTTCTTATATTCTTCATTATCACGTCACCCCATGAAAATATCAAAGAGAAGGCCTTCTCGTAGTGGGCAAGAGGAGCAAAGAATGCTTGATTTCTTACACCCCAATTTGATTTAGCCTAGTAGATTATTTGAGGGTTACAGAAAAATAAGCATCTCCAAGGCTAGATGAGGGAGTAAACACCTTTAATCCCAACTGAGAAAGCAGAAGAAGGTGAACATCTATGAGTTCCAGGCCATCTTGGGTTGCATAGCTATCTTGGGTTGAAAAGCAAGTTCTAGGCCCACCCAGGGTTGCATTGTAAGATCCTATCTCAAAAATTAATTAATTGATCAATGTATAAAAACATACATGAATGCATATATACATGTATATTTGTGTGTATGCATGCATGTGTGTATGTATGTATGTACGTACATGCGTATGTATGTATATTCATTTCTGGGGCTGGAGAAATGGCTCAGAAGTTAAGCAGTCTTATTACTCTTCCAGATAATCTGAGCTCAGTTTCCAGCACCCACATCAGGCAACTCACAGCCACCTGGAGCTCTAGCTCCATCAAATCTAATACCCTCTTCTAGCCTCCAAGGGGCACCTGCACAAACGTGTCGTACAAACATACATGTAAATAATAAATGAATAAAAATTAATCTTTACAAAGTATATATATATTTTTTTCTAAAACAATACCCTCTTTCTGTGCACTGCCACCCACCTGCTCACTGTCATATTCCTTCTTAATTCCTCCATGTTTGTGCAGTGCCACTGAGAAAGAGCCAATGTCATTTATACAAAGCAAAATAATGAAATGGAACATAATGTCCCGGTCCTGGAGAAAATGGGTTTGAAATCAGTTTAGAGTTATCAATGTATGATGAGAGAATGGACTTAGAAAAGAGTCAGGGTATACAGCGTATCATCTCCTGGGAAGATGTAGTGAAGAGAAAATCAACACAAGAAGCGCAAAGGACCCTTGTTTCCAAACTCATGCAACTTGGTTCAAATACATCAAGGAATCATGATAAACTAAATAAAAAAAACATAGCCAATGGCATCTAAAGTGTATGCTTTCCCGCCTTTTCCCCTTTATTTAGTGACCAAGCCTTCTATCACTGTCTCAGAGACTGTGGATTAGATTACAAGCAGACAAATTGTATGCCACCTGAACACACTTGGTGAAAAAGTGTTAGTTCATGATGGCTGTTCCCAACTGTGATGACGTAACTTGGTCTTTAGAAGTCGCCAGGCATTTTCAAAGTTAAGTTACTTTACATATGTAGTCTGGATATGTTTTTATGTGTTTATCAAGAAAGACATTTTCTGAACAAGACAGAATCATAATGCAAGTCTGTGCCATTTAAAGGTGCAGAGTTCATCTCGGAGAGTCAGTTTGCCTATGGATTGGATTTACATTTTTAAATGGCTGGTTAGAAAGAGATTTAATTAGCAAAGCCAAGAAGTAAAAACTAATTACATAATGCATGTGTCTGCTTCTCTGACCTGGCTGCTTTTATAGACAAGCCTTGCTTCAGATGTTTTGAGTGTTTTGAGTGTATGGGGCAGTCAAGTCTTCTAACCACAGGCAAAAGCATGTATGCTAAAAAAAAATAAAAATAAAAAAAGACTCCCTTTATAAAGAAAAACTTAACTCTATAAATGTACATGTCAGACAGAGAGGCATCTATGCCATGTTTATAGCCTTTGATACAGCAGGAGAAAATAATTTGCTTTAGGAAACACTGATTTCAAAATCTCACCTAACTTCTAGAGTTGTACTTAAAATACCTTAAATTATACTTTCCCCACAATGCTCTACCGTAAGGCACCCCCGATAGGAGCAAACTGAAGGGATAAGCTTGCTTCTGGGTTACCTTTTGCTATGGAGTTGAATTCTTGTCCAATAAAGAGGCTTCATTGGCCGGCAAGGCTCGATTGGCTGCTTCCTAGCCCCTCTGTCCTGATTCATCCCTAATCCAAACAAGCCAGTTGGCAATGGAGGAAAAAGGAATCCACACACTTGAGGTGCTGCTGGTAAAGTGCTACTCCCGACTTGTGAGGAGACTGAAGGACCTGAGCCAGGCAACAGTGGGGGTGGAGGGAGGCCTGCCCCCGGGGGAGGTGGGGCTGGAGGTGGGACCCCCATACCTGGTAGAGGAGGAGGTGGAGGAATAGCAACTCCAGGTAGAGGGGGAGGAGGGGGTATCCCCACTCCGGGGAGTGGAGGGGGAGGGGGTATGCCCACTCCAGGAAGGGGAGGGGGAGGGGGTATCCCCACTCCAGGTAAAGGAGGGGGAGGAGGTATTCCCACTCCAGGAAGGGGAGGGGGAGGGGGTATGCCCATTCCAGGAAGGGGAGGGGGAGGGGGTATGCCCATTCCAGGAAGGGGAGGGGGAGGAGGTATACCCATTCCAGAAAGGGGAGGGGGAGGAGGTATACCCACTCCAGGAAGGGGAGGGGGAGGGGGTATCCCCACTCCAGGAAGGGGAGGGGAAAGGGGTATCCCTCCAGGGAGAGGAGGGGGAGGAGGTATTCCCATGTCAGGAAGGGGAGGGGGAGGGGGTATCCCCACTCCAGGGAGAGGAGGGGGAGGAGGTATTCCTAGTCCCGGGAGAGGAGGAGGTGGGGGGGGGGCTGGCAGCATTTCTGTTCCCTGTAGGCTGGCAGGTTGTGGGGCTGTTGTACTGGGAAGAGCAGGCACTGTTGTGTCGGAGAGGCAGGGCGGTGGGTGAAGGGCCATGGCCAGGCCAGGCAGGAGGCTGGAGGACTCTGTACAAGGCAGAGGTGGTGCAGGTGGGATACGACAGCTGTTCTCCAAGGAGGAGTAAACAGAATGTTCATGGCTGGTTTCCAACTCAGTCTGCAGAGACGGCTGGGAGGGCTGGCCCTGGCCGTCAGACCCCAGGAGAGAGGGAGGCGGTGGTAGTTGTGATGTGCTCTGCACGGCTGGTTGGGCATCAAGCTGGACTGATATTCTCCTGGGAGACACAATCAGAGAAATCTCTGAACAGAATTTTGTCTGAGGTCCGGAGAGTGAGGTTACAGCAGCTGGCTCTCCGCTTTCAGCTGCAGGAGGGCCTGGGGGACCCTCCCGTGGTACCTTTAGAGGTGGCAGTGTCAGGACCCTACCCTCTTCTGTTGGGGAAGTTTGTATTGATTTTGCCTCAAGAGTCCTTGGAGGCTGTGCAACTTTCCCACGCAATCTGAGAGCATCCAGACCAACTTCTTCTGAGGCTGCCAATCCATTCTCAAGTCCTGGAAGGCCTCTGGGCCCCTCCAAGTCCAGGGCTGGATATTGCTTTTCTAGCTCAGCTATTTTCGTCCTCAGATCCTCAATGGTCTGTTCCAGTTGCTGAATTACAGTTGCCTGTCCTTCAGACTTCATGTCGAAAACTTCCTGAGAGACAAGGACAGGCAAAATGAATAAAATAGCAGGGAAAAAAAAAAAATCCAAATATCTGAAGAAGAATGGGGAATTAAAGTCACACTTGGACTGCCTCCCTAAAGAGTCTACTGAAAGTTCTGTGTGGATCCTCTTTCCACACTTGGATTTTAAAGTGGTTCAGAGTTATTCCTTTTAAATCCTAAGATACCTATTACCTGAGACCTATTGTCTCAGCTTTACACAATGCCAACTGAGCATGGGCAACTGTGATGATCAGTTGTGTCAAATTTATCACAGCCGAGAATCACTTAGGCAGGGAGGAATTATTGAAATCAAGTTAGCCTGTGAGAATGTCTGTGGATGGTTGTCTTGGTTACTTTAATGATGGGATGGAAGTACCCACCCTGACTGGACCCTCAACTGTAGATAGGTGAAGATAGCTGAATGAAGAAAGCAGGCAGCAAGGGAGCATCCATTCGTTTCTCTCTGCTCTTGACTCTAGCATCATCAGGACTAGCTGCTTTGAGTTTCTGCCATGACTTCCCCTTAATGGTGGACTGTAACCCGAACTATAAGACACATATATTCTTTGCTCTGATGACTTGCTTTTGGTCGGGATTTTTATCACAATAATTAATTAAAACTAGACTAGAACCTAAGAACAGGGAAGGACATTCTACCAGACAAATGCTTGCTCTTCTGACTACGAATTGATGCTATTAGTACGTTATCTAGAGACTTTGGAAGTTAGTTCTGAATTTTAAAAGCAACCACTAGCTTTTAAACGTGGTCAGTGTCAGCCTGACACAGTGACACACAGCTGTAATCCTAGCACTCAGGGAGGCAGAGGCAAGCGGATCTCTGTGAGTTCAAGGCCAGCCTGGACTACAAAGCGAGTCCAGGATAGCCAAGGCTACACAAAACATACCCTATCCTGAAAAAAAAAAAAAAGTGATCAGAGTCACCAATAATAAAAATATGTGAAGTATTATTGACACATATAAAACCATGGATATATCCTTTATCAATGTATGTCATGATTCTGTTATCACATTTACTACAGTTTTAATATTTTACAGAAATCACTGACAGTTCTCTAGAAATTATAAAGGTAGACATTTTAAATGGGCAAAACTTTGAGGGCTACATATGATTTATGTAAACTTAGGCACACACACACAAACCCTAACATCAACATGTTTCAACAACATTCAAAAGACCAAAGTATTAATACATGCAAATGGTATAATATATATTCTAAGTAGTTTATGGTAAAAGATATCTCAATTTATAGACACTTTTATTTCCAATGTGACCATTATATAAATGTCTATGCTGTAGTTATGATGTTAACAAACTTACGTAACAAAAATGCAAAACTCTAACACTGAAACTCATCTCAAAACGACTTGGACCATTCAGCGTTTTCTTGTGACACTGGATTACTCAGATGTGTAGTATCCTAATATGTATTATTTTATGTATTTCATCCACTTTTTAAAAACAGATAGCTAACACACTTAAATAATTTCCAAAGTTGAGAAAATAAGGACCTGATAATATAGAAATACACATAATCTTCAAGGTTCAAAGAATTCCAAGTTTATGGAATAATAAGAATTAAAACTAAGAAATGGCAGAGGAAACAATGATAGAACAAAATTCCAGAACTTAAACATTGTAATTAGTTGTGTGGTGCCAGGAAGGTTCAGATTTAAGGAATTATTATGGCTATTAAAATAACACTACGAAGACAAAGATGGAATGCTTTTGCAGAGCCCTTTTTATACAGATAAGTTTATAGACAAATGAAAAAGATGATGGGATGAAAGAATTTTCTTATTCTTTTCATTATTTCTACTTCAGAGAAATAAGAAATCCACAGTTTTCCAGAATTTGCATTCACTTTTTGACCACGTTTATCTCATTCCATGAAATATTGGAAGTTACAATTTTTTTTTCCATCTAGGAATCAGAGTAATTAAGCTCTTCTCAAACCTTAGCTGGCTACATTGGAACTCAAGAAAGACCAGCAACCTTGGCATTCTTATAGAATGGTCAAAATGTAAGTAAGATTTTCAGTTCTCCACTTAGCTGAGAGTCATCAAAGAATCTTATCTGGCCTTCCTTATCCAGGGCTATCTATGGAGGGCTGGCTGGCTCTCGCTGAGTACTGACTCAGCATCCATGACAACAGTTCCTGTTGTATTAGAAAGGCAGCATCGACTTGTCAAGAGTAACAGTTGATTGCTCTATGGGTTTTTTCTTTTAAGGAATTGCCACGGTAAATATAGGTCATTATCAACAAAACGGCTGGCTGTCTTCTCTTCATGTAAGCAAACATTCAATGCTCAGGACCCATGTGAAGTGAAGATCTGCAGGGCCCACCCACAGACAAAGCCACAATTTAATCTCTAAGAGCCTGCCAGGCACTCTGTGGTCCATGAAAAGCCCTCGAGTTGGGAGCCTGTTTGCTAGTGTCCAGTGCCTGGAACTTAATCTTCCATCTTTCAGGCTTCAACTGGATGTCTATCCAGTTCTGAAGGGAGTTGACATTGGAGAAATGCACTTTGTTATCTTAGACTTCTACCCTTTACAAAAAAAGCTGCCAGCATTTCTAGATTGTGCAATAGTTTATCCAATGTTCATGGCAGTAACTATAAAAGAAATTACATCACTCTTTAAAAAGGGCAAAGTATAGTTTTGCCAATTTTATAAACTATATAATAGCTATCTACTTGTAAGCAGATTAGCACAAATCTGTTGTAAATAAAAGCAATGTATTTATATTTTACCAAATCTGAGATTATCTGTACTTGAAAATAGTGTTTTGGAGCCTTAAATCATCAAGAGCAATAGAAGTTGCCCTCCTATTTGGCTCAGCAATTGTAATCACATAGCCAAAAATTTTTCTATTTCTGAATAATCGTATATGTGGGTGGCGATGGTCATTTCTTATAAATTGTTTGAACACTTGAATATCACAAAATTTAAAATGCCATTGAGAGAATAAAATGTCCACCAAAAACATGTCCCCAAGTGCAAGATTATCTGGTTCCCAGAAAAAGAACCCATTACAGTAACACTAAGGTTACAATTGTCCAAAAAGAAGCCAAAATACACTCAAGCAAGCTTTTGCTGAAAGGCTAATGGGCTCATCTTTTAAATTTTATTATGTTAGGAAAGCAGGGTGCTTTTAGAGCCTAGAATATAAAAACCGTACACTGGTAAGCTAATACTAAATTGATTTTGTAAATGTTGGTGTGAGACATGTAATTCATTGTCCACCTCACTCAAATTTGCAAGTTCTGTTGATTCTAAGGTCCCTTTACTAACAAATGAGGATAATACACACATCTACACAAGAGGACGCTTACTCCTCAGAGTATCATATAAGTTCTGTTTGCCATGTTTTGAATTAAAAAAAAAAAAATCTTATGTTTTGGAACAACCTAATAGAATTCCAGATCTGTAATAACCTAACGTATGCTGGGCAGGATCCCATAGAAAGTAAGTCCAGACTTTAAACAGGCATAATTACTTCCAAAAATAAAAACAAATAATTTCAAATTTTAGGGAAAATTTCAAGACAGGGGAAAACACTAGGATATATGAGATGTGAGAAATTGTTTTTTTTTTTAAATATTTTTTATTTATTTATTATGTATACAATGTTCTGTCTGCATGTACACTTGCATGCCAGAAGAGGGCACCAGATCTCATTATAGATGGCTGTGAGCCACCATATGGTTGCTGGGAATTGAACTCAGGACCTTCTGGAAGAGCAGCCAGTGCTCTTAACCTCTGAGCCATCTCTCCAGCCCCGAGAAATTGTTAATAACCTATCTAGGGTTTGTTAAAGTTGAACTTATTTCAGAAAACAAGAGCTTCATGGAGTTCAAACAGAATTTATGAAGAGAGAGAGAATGCTTGTGGAACCCAGAGCATGATACAGGATGTCTTCATCTATCATTCTCTGCACTACTACTCATTTGAGACGAGGTCTCTCAACGAACCTGGTGCTTACCATTTTCTCAGCTCGCCTGGAGGTCATCAATCAACCTCTCTCTGCCCTACACATAGTACTGGGGTTATGGAAGCATACAGCCAGCGACATACATATTCTTATGTGGATGCTAGAGATCCAAATTTGGCTCTTCAGTCTGGGTAGGAGTGCACCTCCCTGGACCCACTGAACTTTATAACAAAACGAACAATGAAACTGTTGAAAATTATAATATGCTTAACAAACACAGATCAGGTAAATTTGCTGCATACATAAATGAGACATGTGATATGAGTGGGAGGGAGACAAGTTAGGAATAATGGCCATGTTATATTTAGCATAACTCATGATCAATAAATTGATATAAAAGCTACAGGAGTGATTGATAAGGAACCCTGACAGAAATAATAATATATTTGGGAAAGAACCAAGGTAATAATGAATCAGATCAACAAAGGGAAGGAACCTGGTGCTCTCATTCCTATGCCTTTGGAATTTCCAAACAAAGTTAATATTTTGGCAGGCTGCTGGATCATACTCTAAGAGAGTACACGGTTATATTTACCCACACAGTACCAGGAAGAAAAGCACTGTGTGACTTTCCTTTCATGATCTGTGTGTGGAAAGTGCCATCTCCCGAGCACATACTTCCCTTACACTGACACCCAACTCTTGTTAAATGCCATAAAAATAAATACTAGATAAAATCAAATGCAATGGATTAAGCCCAAAAGATGGCAAGGGAGCATTCCCCAGACCTGGCCATGCTAAGGAAATTGCTCTCACAGTGCTGTTACTATTCTTACTGCCAGTGTGGCCTTAACCCTGCCTATAAGAATACTCAAGACTGCTACTCATGGCTTTCTTCATAAAACACTTTCCTCCCTTGGCTCCTACAATTACAAAGTCCATTTATCTCAATTTTTTCCCTTCTAATCCTTTCTTTTCTTTTATTGTTCTTGTTTGTTTTCAGTAGGACCTGGGGCGTAGGTTAATCTTTGGGAAA